AGGGTGGGGTGTTTACAAATTTTAAAACAAAAACAGTTCCAGATCTGTTTACAGATTTTCCTAAATGTTTAAGTGGAACCGCTCCTTTGAGGGCTTTGACATTTTGATTGAATCAATCTGGAGATCATTTTCAATGTAAACAATGCCTGCTTAATGTAATCTGATTTTCAGAGCACTTTATTGCTCGGTCACATCAAAGGAATACCATGAATTCATCACCCGAACTTTGTGTCAACTACAACATTGTATACAATTTGTGTTTAAAGTTTTCAATGACACCAAGGTAAGGGTGGGACGTTTACACGTTAATCGGTATAGGAAAGTTTTCTAAATGTTTTCAAATTAAACGTAAATTCCCACCATTACATGTAACCCCACTTTTGATATTTTCATTTTCCCACATCTGAGGGTATGTATAAAATGATAATCGGGTGCGGACGTTTGATGTCATTCTACGAGGAAACTTCAACTATTTCAGAAGCCAAATTTGCCCCAAATCTGGGATATTGTGTAGTCTCAAAAATGTTTTTATTGTGATTCGCTGTTGTTCCAGCTCACGATGTTAGGGGCCAGCGAGTGCAGTTTTTTTTTTTTCCCAAACATATTTTCAAAGATTTGGGGCTGGCAATTTGATCAGAAACAACCCCCGAACACAGCATCTTCCTGAAATTCAGCAACTGCACAGCAACTGCACCCTCATTAGTCAGGAAAGGCGCGGCAAATTCTTAACATTTTTTTAAAAAGTGCACTTAACATCGTGAAGAAGACATGGGCGGTAGAAAGTTTGCACGACACATGTTCCTGCCGCGAGCCCTCTACATGCAAGTTAATTCTCATAAACCTTACGACAATTTAAAGGAAAACTCCTCCCACTCAGTTTAAAAGTGCACTTCCGACCCCAAGCCCGTAGAACTGCAGGTGCTGTTCTCTGTTACTTGGCCTTTTGTCCATCTAGGGAATGCAAAATTATGCAAGCCCTCTTTGACTTTCCAGATGTGTAATATACACGTAGGCGTCTACTCACAATGCAAGGAATGGCAGAGGAAAGCAACAATTCTCCCAACTGCGAACTGCATGCGTACAAACAGTCACGCCAAACGAGAGGAGGAAATAGAACATCAAGGAGGGTTAACAGGCATAATCTTGCTCACAAAGGATTTTTTTTTTTTCATGTGGAATGAAACTTTCACTGTTACCTGGAGCAAATCAGTACAAAATTGTTTCACATTATGAGGGCATGTGTACATTTGAAAGTGTAATCTGTTATCTGGCCACACTATGAGGTACATGTGATGAGCTCATGGTAATTATTTACTGTAATAAATACACTTCAGTTTCCACAGGAAAAAACTAAAACTACGGCAGAGAAAGCGTTACACAGAACCCATTTCGCTGTGTCTTACGTAAATTTTAACTTTCGTCACTTTTTAAACCAGCGGATTTGTAAAGATACATGTAAACTTCAAGAGTTGATTAACCACTTGCTGCTGGGTGGTTTGAAAAATGCAGTGCACTCAAACGGGGCCATTTTCAACATTTTCAGTTTTCAAAATTCTTAAAAAATTCATCATTTCAATTAATGGACGTTTACACACACACGAATGACTGTCTGGTGTCTACTCTAATCTGACGGACAACATCTATTGACGCCCGAGTATTTCAGCCAGGCCTGCAGCCTTGTAAACAGAGCCCAGATTGTGCGGTGTTATATAACTGTCTGTGTTACGAACCTGGCACAGTGCGCTGCTGACCTCTTTTCAATAGGGGCCAGATTAGCGTGCAGCGGTACTGTGTGGCTCATCGCTGCAGTGGTGGAACGCTTTTGTCCCCTGTGGTAATCCGCTCTTTAAATCCCCAAAACCATGGTATACTGTTTCAAAACAAGGCTGGATTATCTCCACCACTGAGAGTGAAAAAATGTCGGTAATGCCTAGCAGCCTGTTCTTTGTTCCGAGTACGGTCTTTTGTTGCAAGGCCCAGTTCCCTTTGTCCCATTTCGGAGACCCCGGCCACACGTATAAAACATACATGTCCGGTAACAAACCCCGGCGGCAAGTGGTTAATCGAGTGCCATACACTGCACAAACACATATCTCAAACAGCCATAAAATCTAAGAAATTGCACAGTCCAATGCTTACAGTGCAGCTGCAATGAACTTCTCTCAAGACGGTATTCCTGCAACTTTGTATTCTTTTTTAATGTATGAAAACTCTGTTACTTTCCTATTCCTGAAATATTCCCCCAAAACAAAACCGTTCATGTGAAATGAGGAAGCGGCAGGGGGAGGGGGGATTTCGGATTTAGCTCCCTGTAACGTACACGTACTGCATGAAGACGGTACACTGCACAGTGTGTGATACGAGTGTTCCTTTTGTAATTGTAATTTTGGTACCGAGTGGGTGTACTTAATACTTCATTCAAAAATCAACTCGATGCAAAAAAAATGGAATTTTCATGCCTCAAATTTCAGTTGTGTTGTTGCATAGTTATATATCACTTTATTTGGATAAATAAAAAAAAAATTCATACAGCCGATGGATACGCCCTTTGTGTCAGAATGACATTTAGGGAAAAAAGAATGAAGGAAAAGCTACACTCTGCAAAGTAAATCTAATACTGTTTTTCCGACAAGTTACTTTAAGTTTGAATTTCTCGGCGAAAAATCGTGGATAAAGGCTTCTTGGCAAAATGTCAGCAGTGTAATCCAAGCTATATTCCTTGCAACAGAGAGAATTGCAAATTACTCACGCCTGGGAAAAAAAGTCTTCATTGTCAGAGCTGGTGCTTGTTGTGCCAAGATGCAAAGTCTTGATGAAGAGACTACCGTACATGTATCTCTTCTTAATTTAAACCTCAAATGACAGCTACGGTACATGTACGTCATTTTTGCATTGATGTCCATAACAATACAAAGCTGGCCTACAGGGTAAACGTTCCTATCAAGCCTCTGCGTAAGCCCTCTCTCGGGATCATGCCCCAAGGGCAGTTCACCTACATGCCCCTGAGGCTTTCGATGCTGAGGTAAGAGAAAGGTCTTATGGCGGGGGTGCCAAGACCTTTTTGCTGAGAGGAAAGAGGCACGTTAGGCAGAAGCTGCTTGATTGAGTTTCTGGAACAGGGAAGAGGTGCAACCGTGGACCATGTACATGTACATATGTCCAGTAAAAGGCTGGTTTACCAGTGGTTGACCGTGCGATGCACCTCGTGCTTGTGAGCTGGTCATTCAAATGCAGCTGACAAATGTGCATACAAGTGTAGCCACAGGGTTATCCTTTTAAAGAACAACACAGGCACGTCGGCACCGGTGACAAATAAAATCCACCCATAAGTGAAAAGAGGGAAAAACGTTATACATGAAAAATGCATTCAAACCTTTTAACACTGACTTGAACTACCCCTGTTTTTGCGTTCCACCATGAAAACCTTTTTAACCTCTTCCCTTTTTATCAGGAAAGTTACAAAGTGACTGCTTCACAAGTTCACTGGTACCCGGTCCCCATAATTTGGAACCTGTTCCTGACATCAACAGATGGGTACTCAGATGCACGTACAGTACCCTAATCAAACTCAAGCGTGTGACCTACACTACATGTGCATGTATGGTCAAATGCCATCATATAAACCTCGTAGTTCTGGCTCCCTGCTGCTGTGTGCAAATTAAGGGACGAACAAAAAACAGTACTGCCGGTACTGTGCGAAGACTTAATATGGTCCACCAAAGTCACCAGTTGGTTTGGCTTGCCTACTGTATTCCACACGCATTGCAGTGCTGTGGTCAAGACCGTCACAAGGCCAGACACAAGAACGATCGCAAGTAAAAGGTGAACAATGACGCAGGAATGCTTTTGTTGTAGTTGGCTGCAATAGCTTGTGACTTGAATTCAGGCTGGACGACTTATTTTGATGGTCTTTTTGGAGGTCTCAACAACAACACTGTCATAATGCCAGTGTGGTTCCAACGACTGGCTACCCACAGTTTTTCATCAACTTGCTTTAAGCTTATCCAGCGTCGGGGCTCTACGCGCTTGCGACAAACTGTCGCAATTTTTCGCGGGCACTGCCCTGCATGGAAATGTGAACAAAACTAACGAGCCTAAGATACATGTAGGCCCCATAGGTGGGTCAACTTACTTGACAACAGATTCCATGTCGTTCCGGTAGACGCTCTCCAGGCTCTGCGCAGGGAAGCCCATCGCTATCACGTTGTTGCAGATATCTGATGGCATTTAGGTCAAGGGAAACTGGTGTTTTGATGACCAATTGGGGTAAAAAAAAAAAAATTTAAGCTCCATTCTCTAGCAGTCGAAAGGGAAACAGACCAAACATGTGTATGTACGGGACACATATATGTACTAATACACACAGGTTATGTAAATGTACATGTACATGTAAATGTGCAAATTTAACCGAATTTGACATACATGTACATTAAATGGATAGATTCTAAAAATCCTAGAAAGAAAGAAGGCCCTTCATTGAAGGATATATCCGGTATAAAGTCACAATGCTAAGTACAGGAATACTGTATGTATGATTTGGGTACGGAAAACCTTCATCCTACATGCGCATGTACACATATTTATTACTCATAATATAGGATGGACTTATCAATACGGGTGATTCACAATAGTGCGCCTCCAAGAGTTTCCAACACGTGGCCAATCACAACGCGAGAAATTTGTCGACCCTTTCTGAACGAGCATTGGGTCGACAAATTTCGCACACTGTGATTGGTCAACGCATTGCAAACTCTTGGAGGCGCACTATTGTGAAACCCCGTATAGTGGTTTCTTTAGCAAGAAGGCAGCATCTGTGGAAGGACTTATTGAAATGACCAGCCTTTGGCAATGTCAATTTCATTGATGCCTGGACGTTGTAACAGATGGAGAAATTGATGGCCTGTGACAGTTGAACTCTTCAACAATTTTGTGACAACGCCAAGGAAACCTGTCTCCGGAAAGCCGCACCCCGTGTATTTTTATTTCCCATTGTATTCTGTATCCTCGAATGGTTACTCTCGTTACCGCCGGGGGTGGCCTGGCATCCTAATTACACGGACTTGCAGTTCTCCCATCCGGTCTTTCTTGACCGAACCAATGTTTGATCACTGCTCACAATGGGTGCCCGTTTCCATCCCGGGGTGCTCGGAGCTTCCGGGATGAATCAAGAAAAGTCCACAGAGCAGAGGGTCTCCCGTGTCTCAAGTCACACAACAGGAAAGACTAGAGGTGGTGATTTAATTTCCTGACAACCACAGTTGCCTGAAAGGGAGGGGGGGCTGTGAGACCACACAAACTTTCAGTAACAGGACACCCTGAAATAGCCCGAGAAATAGCAATCTGACTGAAAGTACCCTAAGGGGAAAACGTGCAATGTTCAAGAATTTCATTAACACTGAATTAAAATCTTCCATTGAACCTATATACATTGTAATCTTCCATCTCAACTAGTAAAGTCAATTCCTGAAGTACACTAACTGAAAACTTCTGTATACTGCACTGGTGCTGGCGTCCCGACCACTTAACAATGACGAATTCTCCTACACCATACCATACAATAGTTGTTAACATTGGGAATTAGAAATATTTAAAAGTACTGTACACTGCATATTACCAACTCTGCTCTCAGGTTAGAAAATAGCCAAATCTACATGTAACTGCTCAATTACACTGTTAATACATAAATATGTATTTGAGAGTTACCTGTGATATGAAGTCGGTAACCAAAGTGCATATTTGACGTGAAATTATCCAATACCAAACGAATGAGAAATTCATGGGGAAACCATCAGTTCTTCAAACAGTTCGCCCTTTTTTCCCCTCGAATACAAGCATTCTGATGGATTCCCTATATCCCCCCCCCCGGGCAACTGTTCTGAAGTTACACGTGCCATTCTGGGCAGTGGCTGGAGGCTAGGCAGTGGCAGTTTTTTTTCCTTTTTACTATACCCTGCATGTTAGCCTGCACAAGAGCCCCCCCCTCGCAAGCTCATCAGCCTCTTTCACACACTTAACTAAAATGAGATCGGCCAGCCGCTCACCTGCTAAGAGCGGCGCTCGGCGATGCACTTGTGATCGTGCCTCGATTACTGAAGTGGTAGGGACACTGCCGAGTAATGCATGGGTTGGGTACAAATTGGGCAATGTGAAACTACCCAAATCCCTCCCCCCACCCACCAAAAAATCCTGCCCAACCTACATGTAACACCAGTATCATCAGACCTATCGGTCTACGCTCATTGAAAGGGTTACACAAGTAAATTTCGAGTTCAAATCAACCAGGTCAATGTTTTTATGTAATAAATAAACACTGAACAGATTTTTTTTCAGTGTAATGTACACGAGCATGAATCCTGTCATCAGTTTTTTTTTTTGAACTAAACTAAAATAATATTAATAACATTCAGGAAACCAAAGAATAGCATCCTACATGCAATATCCTCAATGGAGTTTACAGGATAAACATGAAATTGCGTGTACATGTGCTTCATTCATAATATTTTGCGTAGCCAAATCAATGGTTTAGAGAGCTTGTCTTGAATACATACACATGTATAAGTAGAGTACATGTACACGCGTGCATAATTGTGTACATACATACATGTACATGTACATGTATGCATACTGGAACATGTGTAAAATAAATACGTGTACATGTCGACCCTCAAATCTGACCCCTGATGGTGTGCGGCCGGAATCTCTCAACAGGAATATAAACATGCAAAAGGTTTAGAATTTACAAATATCTTTTGTTCAGTTGCTTCTTTAAAAAGTCCTCTCCTAAAAAAGGCCCTTGTAAATGATTTCCAAGCATATTAATTTATAGGTACTGAAACTCTGCCTGCCCTGAAAGAGCAAATCATGCCCAAAACATTAACCTGTCAATTCCCAAAATCTCACAGACTTCCTGACTTACATGTATATGAAAGGGAAAAATTTAAAAAATTATTTCGTGATCTTGAGGTAAAACAAACTGAAACAAGAGACCAAAACTCCGTGATACTGTTTGCAGGGTTTTTAAAAATCGATTGTTAGGCAAAATCAGCATTTCCAAAAAAATCTTCTAAGGTCTAACCTAACCTACATGCACATGGAAGGAACTGCACCAGGCCAGCCTGACTTAGTCTAGAATGCATCTGCTGAAGGTACATTTAAAGCTCTGCAATGTTATGCATTCTCATTCTAACCTACCAGTAACGAGCAAATGACGAGCAAATAAGCGCACACAAACTAGGTCACCCACCCTGTAGGTACAATGAAGCTGGATGTGAAAAATCGTACATTAACCCTAACCCTCCTCAATCCTTCACCTGTTGGAGGACCGAGGAGTGTTAGGGTTAAATCCTTTTTTATCCATCTCTAGTTCATTTTTCAACAATTCCATTTGAACACAGAGATACAAATCCAACATGAGTGTTTCCTAGAAGTGATTTTGGTTAGAAATACGTGTAATTCTTCCTCAACTGGCAGACTGTGAAACATGTACATGTAGGTGGCCCCATGTAAAATCCCCCCGTAAGCAGGCTACGTGAGGGTTCGGGAAGCTCGCCATGTGACCTTTTCTCATCAGGCTCTATTATGGATGCATTCCACATTTTTCAAACAGCCAAGAATTTCTCATACAGTTCTTGACTCTGCTGACGTGCCCGAAACTCGTTTTTCTCATTCCTGACACCTGCAGAACAATCCCCTCCCCTTCCGGTCCAATTTAGAAGGAAAAATGTGAACTGTATAGGAGGGAAGTAAATGTAACCACACTGCCTAGGACCAAGTGCCGTTATACTGTTATACATGTACATATGTGCACACATACATGCAGTGGGGGGAAAATGCTACAAAATGACTAACAAGCTTTCAAAACCAACCCTTCTTCCTTCCTTCTTTCAAATTCCAGTACTCTCCAGCATTGGTGCCTTGATACTATCGTACAGTTCATCCAAGCTCTTTAACGGTACCATTTTCAAGGAAACCTGGGGACGACCATTTTTTTTCTTCTTCCTTCTTCTTCATTAACATCTTTAGTTTCCCTTTCGGGTAATCTGGTTGATTGGGCGTGAAACGAGCAGCGCACAACCCCATTATGAAAGCCTTGTGCCAAGACATGTAATGCAAGGTGGCATTCCCAATCAGGCTTTGGTGAATATAATGAAAACGAATGTCTATAAGTCCGCTTCCAATTGTGTATGTACACACTCCAGTAAGTGGTACAAGGGGCAGGCATGTGGCCTAGCAGTTAGGGTTCGCAGATTCTGCTCATAGGGTCGGGGGGTTTTTGAATCCAGCCGGTGGCAGCATGTTGCGATCTTGGGCAAGTCACTTTACCCCCGTGGGCCTCTCTCCACCCAGGAGTAAAATGGGTACCAGTGAGAGCAGATTTGGTTTAGCCGTGTGCGCCTGATAAGGCAGCATCAGCTAGTATGCTCCTCAGGGAGCTGAGATTTCAGTTTCAGAAATGTTCAGTGGTTGTGAGCCCAATGTGCAGGGCTAACTATTATGATGCGTCTTGAGCACCCAACAGCGTGGATACGTGTGCAATATAAATTGGAATTATCATTATTCTTATGTATACATGCATGGACATGCGCCAATTCTTGATTGTTTTATTATGCATACATGTACATGTCAATGCACATCTGTATTATTTCTAAAGTTGGCTTGGTGGTACATGTACGTGTACGTTTGCCATGGATACTGCTGAATGTAAGACAACTGCTTTACGAAGCAATAGATAATGAAGAGGCATGTTTGTTAAACAAAAAAAAAGACAAAAAGGAAAATGGTCTAAAAAGAACGGAATTGCTGATAGTTGAGCCATTTTCAGTTGACAGTTTCGGTATCCTTTTCACGCACATGTACATGTAATGTAGGTCCACATTGCAGTTTAACAGCGGATGTTGTATCTACTGTGCGGCCACTTGCAACAGTTTAGGACCAAACATACATATAATGCATTTACCATATCAAAGACCAAACTTAAATTGATTAATCGTGGCAACCTGTGTTTATTTTCAATGCACAATACGAACATCTTGGTTGAACAAATATTTGACCAAATGTTTGACCTCATTTCATGATGACATTTTCACCGTCTTATATTTAGTGAGCCCTCCTCTGTTTCTGATGGCTTAGACTGACTTTTTACCCATGCTGCACTGCAGACAAAATGTCATACAAGACCTGCCATTGCAAAAAATTCCATCAAAATGGGCTCATAGCA